ACCCGCTCGTCTTCTGTTCTCGGCTCCAGTTGTGAGGCTGAGATCTACGCCGGGGCTATGGCTGCTCAGGAGCTTCGCTGGCTCACCTACCTGCTGACCGACCTTGGAGAGCCGCCTCGTTCTCCTCCAGTCCTGTACGTAGACAACAAGGCCATGCTGGCCTTGTGTCGAGAGCAGCGACTGGAGCACAGGAAAAAGCACATTGCTCTCCGCTACTTTCTTGCTCGTGAGCTACAGCAGCGTGGACAGTTGCGACTTGCGTACGTGGCCTCTGAGGCCGACACTGCTGATGTCTTCACCAAGGCACTTGCGCCTTGTGATCATCAGCGTTGCTGCACGCAGCTGGGTCTTGTGCCTGTCTTGCCTCACTTGCTCACTTCTTGACCTTGCTTGTACCTTGACCTATATATACTCTTGCTCTTGTTTGCTTGACTCTTGTATATCTCTATATATGATCTTGCATGTGCACTGGCCTTGTGGCCCTTGAACTTGTGCTCAGAATGTGTGGTGACATTGTGATCCACCCTGAGCTTTGCTTTGCTTTGCTTGACTGGTCTTGTGACCCCTTGTTCTCCCCCACTTTGCCTATGGGGGTGTGTCAGAACATTATAGCTTACTTATTTGTGTAGGCTATAGTGGGGTATCCCATAGGGGGTACAACCCAATTAGGGTTTCATATTTGTACTCAATTCATTCATAGTTCATTCATTCTCGTTCTTTATTTTCACACTTATTTGTAGAAAACAACTTGTGTAAGCCCGTTTGTGGCATAGTCGCTGGAAAGTGCTTCATTATACCTCAACGCATGATATAAAGTACATTATTAGCGTTTCACGAAAGTGAACCGGCTTTCATCGAAGCAGCTCTCTCCAGGCATCTGAACTCCACAACTCGCGGATAACGCATTCCTGCGTCGAACCGAAGCATAGTCGTCAGTTCGGCTCGGAGGTTCGATTGTTGATTGTCCTTCTGTGCATCTGCGTTACTTTGCCGTCGTTCTTAGATCAATCAAGCACAGTTTTGACGAGAGGAGATGGCGGGACAGACGGAGCCGAAGCAGACGCCGGAGGACGTCAAGATGGACGTCTTCGAGGACGACGACGAGTTTGAGGAGTTCGAAAATGAAGGTGCGTCTTACGGGCGAACGAGTTTATAGATCACGTCTCGCGATTCGGTTCTGCGGTAAAGATCCTTCCTATGCAGATAGTTCTGGCCGCGTACTATGACGCTGATTGGTGTGAGTTAGGACCAACCATATTCACGAAAAGCGGTGAGACGTCTTGATTTCACGCGAGAGTGTTTCAGTCAACCGTTGCCTGTAGATATGATTTTCAGTTTTCTCTTCACAATTGGAAACGTTGCGTTCGTAGAATAATATTGTTGCTCCCAGGACACTATAGTCTTGTTGCGACGTCTGTGTTCCGTGTGCCTCCGGACACCCTTATCGTTGATGACTCCGAATGTCCCGCGTGACCTCCCCATATGTCCTTCTGATGCGTGCCAGCTGGGACCTGGTGCTTCCTCGCATATGCATCCCGCGTGATATCCGTGTTCGGACGGGTGACGTGATCCCCGCTTGACCTTCTCGTGGCGCGCGGAGTCTGCTCCCCACATCCATGCTGTTCCCCACATCCATGCTGCTCCCCACATACATGCTGCTCCCCACATCCATGCTGCTCCCCACATCCATGCTGCTCCCCACATCCATGCTGCTCCCCACATCCATGCTGCTCCCCACATCCATGCTGCTCCCCACATCCATGCTGCTCCCCACATCCATGCTGTTCCCCACATCCATGCTGCTCCCCACATCCATGCTGTTCCCCACATCCATGCTGCTCCCCACATCCATGCTGCTCCCCACATCCATGCTGCGGATTGGGACGAGCGCACACGGGTCGTGGGGGTGGTGGTGCACCACCAACAAAAGGACAGATGGGATGACGTTGCGCACTTTTACCCCTCCCGTTCCACCACCCCCTTCCCCGTTCCCCCCTTCCTCTCCCCTGCCCTCTCTCGCCCCCCACTCCTCAATGTTTCAGATTGGGACGAGGCCGCACAGGACGTGGAGGGGGTGCACCAGTGGGAGGACGAATGGGGATGACTCTGCATTCCTCCTCTCCTCCCTTTCCTGCATCACCCTCACCTCTCCTTCTCCTCATTTCCCCCGCCTCCATCTCACAGACTGGGACGAGAGTGCGCAGGACGTGGAGGTGGTGCACCAGTGGGAGGACGACTGGGACGATGATGACGTCAACGACGACTTCTCTCAGCAGCTCAGAGCCGAGCTTGAGAAGTCCACATAGCGTCGGATGACATAGCTACGTGCCCTTGAGTCTTACACATGACAGGTCAACATCTGTGCTCAGCTCACTCAGTTGGGGTACTTCAGTAATCCGGCTTCTTCCCAGCAGATAGAGCGGAGGAGCTTGTTGATGAGTCCTCATACCCTGGCTGGGTGGCATATGGTACTCTCAACATCACAGGTTTCGTGCGCGCGCTTTGGTACTGCGCTTCCTGGAACAATCCTGTATATTGAGTTGACTAATTTAGTTACGGTAATTACACGTGCAGCTTGAGATGAGCAGCTGTTCTAGCTGTTTGGCAGCAGGTGCAAATTTCTAAAACAAGGCAGCTGCTTTCCACTTGGAAGATGACTGAAACTCAAATCAATATGAATTTTCAAATCATTTCAAATGAAACGTAAATACACAACCATTATTGACAAACATCCATGATGACTTGCCGACAGACAAGGTACGGTAGTTGAAATGATACCAAACTTGCAACCATACAGCAACCATAACATGCCATCACCATCAAATCACAATCCATGCCAATGTGACCCAGTACAGTACTACACAGCATGGCTTGTGCTGCCTGCAACCCTCTGCCACCTGTGCTCCAGCCAGCCAGAGAGGGGGAGTAATGGCCGTGAAGATTCAGCGAGAGAAGAGAGGAGAAGCAGGGCTATCCAAGGCGGGCCTTGTAGAGCAGAATATATGCCATGTGCCAGTCACCTGTAGCAAGGGGGAGAGGCATGAGATGAAGAGTGTAGATGTGGAAAAGGCTTAGCATGTAAATAGCTGCATCTGGCCACATGGTGTGTGATGCCACATGGTGTGTGATGCCACATGGTGTGTGATGCCACATGGTGTGTGATGCCACATGGTATGTGATGCCACATGGTGTGTGATGCCACATGGTGTGTGATGCCACATGGCAGAAACTAGCAGCGCAGCTACTGAGTGTGATAAGAACGATGATTTGTGACTGTATACGTGATTATGAGGCATATGACTACAAGGCACGTGACTATAACAAGGCATGCAACAACCCCACTGCTCACCTCCGCCTGCGAGGTTGACGATCTCCTCCTCATTGCACATGATTGATTGTGACTATACCGTGCGTGACACAACCGGACACGTGACCACAAGGCACGTGGCAGGCACACTGCTCACCTCCCCCTGCGAGGTTGATGATCTCCTCCTCGTTGCGCATGATGGGCTGCTCGTCATCAAACTCGATCCACTTGCCTGCAGGGGAGAGAAGGACGAGGAGGGTTAGGAAAGGGAAGAAAGGGGTTTGACCTTGAGGGTACAGGGCATGATTGGCTGCTTGTCATCGAACTCGATTCACTTGCCTGAAAGCAAGCAGAAGGGAGCGAAGGAGGGGGATAAGGAGAGAGGGTGGGAGAGAGTTGAAGGGTGGGAGAGAGTTGAAGGGTAGGGGACACAAGTGCCTGCCGTGCACACGGAGGGCGACGGAGGTTGGCATGCAGTGTGGTGGGGAATGACACAAGGTACAAGGTACAAGCAACGTATATGTGAGAATTTCAAGGGAGTTACTGACAGCATGAGTGAGTGCTTGGGATGAAAGGGACTGGGCAGGAAATTCTTAGCGTTGAAACATGTCCCAACAGGACAATGCATGGATATGATCGGGCAGCGTAAATCATTGGTGTATGATGCGGTGAGCCATGGAAGAATAAAATATGGGATGGGGTGGGATGGGATGAGACCGGACAGAGTGACGAAACATGCGGCAACTTTGGACAGGTTGGAAACACACTGTTCATGCCACATACCACTCTCCTTCTTCAGCCATTCATGCCACATATCGCACTGTACCACACTGTTCATGCCACATACCACTCTCCTGCTTAACCCATGCCACATAATGCCCTGAGTCCGCGCTCCTGCCCTTGTGTGTCAGCACTGCCGTCAGGTCAAACAGCCCTGTGGCTGGACGGGTGGGGTGGGAGGGGGTCGTTATTGGGAAGGAGGAGGGGGAGGGGAAGGAGAGCGGTGAGTGGGACGGGAGGGTCACGTAGGCCCCGCAGTGCGCATTGCTGGCCTTGTGTGACCGCACAGCTGAACAGCCCTGTGGATGGGTGGACCGGTAAGGAGCGGGGGAGGTAGGAAGCAGCACAGATGAATGGAATTGAGAGGATCACACACTTGCCCAAAACCAAAGCCGCACTCCTGCCGTTGTGGCTCAGCACTGCCGCCAGGTTGAACAGCCCCGTGGGTGCGTTGAGGGATGGGCGGGATGGCGGGGGGGAGGGGGAGGAGGAGGAGGAGGAGGAATCTGAGAGAAGATAAGGGAATGTATGGCGGCTGCATAGGTTTCAAAGGATCTGCGAGTAAAGGGCAACAAAAACGCCTTGAGATCACAAAAACGCCTTGAGATCACACAAACGCCTTGAGATCACACAAACGCCTTGAGATCACACAAACGCCTTGAGATCACACAAACGCCTTGAGATCACACAAACGCCTTGAGATCACAAAAACGCCTTGAGATCACAGCACTAGCAAGAACGGAACAGATGGATGCGCCACATTCAGATAGAAGGGAATTTATTTTAAAAAAATCAAGAATATTATTTTAATCATATAGCACGTATGGGAAAAAGGACCCCTTTCTCCCATGGCCCCACAGGAAGCAGTGGGCTGCACAGCAGGAGACCGGGCAAGGTGGCAGCTAATTGTTACCTAATGGAGACAGATGCCCATGGTCATGGCCCCTACCTTCTCCGCTCTCCTTGCTGTCTGCGGCTGTGGCGGCAGTCGCATCAGAAGCCTGCATGGTGAAGGTGGGTCCGAGGAGAGAGCGCAGTGCAGAGGGAGGTGGGATGATTCAGGGAAGGAATGAATGTAGGGTGGGATGATTCAGGGAAGGAATGAATGTAGGGTGGGATGAGTCAGAAAAGAAAAGAGACAAGCTTTCTCTCACACAAACCGCCTTGCTGGTTCCTTCAGTGGCCACCCCTTCAGTCATCCTTTGCACCTCTGCTTGTCCCCTATCTCTTACCTTGCAGCTCTTCTTCATAGCCCTCCCGTCCTTCCAATCCCACAATCCCCTCTGTAACAGTACCCCAATCCCACAATCCCCTCTGTAACACTACCCCAATCCCACAATCCCCTCTGTAACACTACCCCAATCCCACAATCCCCTCTGTAACACTACCCCAATCCCACAATCCCCTCTGTAACACTACCCCAATCCCACAATCCCCTCTGTAACACTACCCCAATCCCACAATCCCCTCTGTAACACTACCCCAATCCCACAATCCCCTCTGTAACACTACCCCAATCCCACAATCCCCTCTGTAACACTACCCCAATCCCACAATCCCCTCTGTAACACTACCCCAATCCCACAATCCCCTCTGTAACACTACCCCAATCCCACAATCCCCTCTGTAACACTACCCCAATCCCACAATCCCCTCTGTAACACTACCCCAATCCCACAATCCCCTCTGTAACACTACCCCAATCCCACAATCCCCTCTGTAACACTACCCCAATCCCACAATCCCCTCTGTAACACTACCCCAATCCCACAATCCCCTCTGTAACACTACCCCAATCCCACAATCCCCTCTGTAACACTACCCCAATCCCACAAGTCACAATCCCCTCTGTAACACTACCCCAATCCCACAATCCCCTCTGTAACACTACCCCAATCCCACAATCCCCTCTGTAACACTACCCCAATCCCACAATCCCCTCTGTAACACTACCCCAATCCCACAATCCCCTCTGTAACACTACCCCAATCCCACAATCCCCTCTGTAACACTACCCCAATCCCACAATCCCCTCTGTAACACTACCCCAATCCCACAATCCCCTCTGTAACACTACCCCAATCCCACAATCCCCTCTGTAACACTACCCCAATCCCACAATCCCCTCTGTAACACTACCCCAATCCCACAAGTCACAATCCCCTCTGTAACACTACCCCAATCCCACAATCCCATCTGTAACACTACCCCAATCCCACAATCCCCTCTGTAACACTACCCCAATCCCACAATCCCCTCTGTAACACTACCCCAATCCCACAATCCCCTCTGTAACACTACCCCAATCCCACAATCCCCTCTGTAACACTACCCCAATCCCACAATCCCCTCTGTAACACTACCCCAATCCCACAATCCCCTCTGTAACACTACCCCAATCCCACAATCCCCTCTGTAACACTACCCCAATCCCACAATCCCCTCTGTAACACTACCCCAATCCCACAAGTCACAATCCCCTCTGTAACACTACCCCAATCCCACAAGTCACAATCCCCTCTGTAACACTACCCCAATCCCACAATCCCCTCTGTAACACTACCCCAATCCCACAAGTCACAATCCCCTCTGTAACACTACCCCTATCCCACAAGTCACAATCCCCTCTGTAACACTACCCCAATCCCACAAGTCACACTCCCCTCTGTAACACTACCCCAATCCCACAATCCCCTCTGTAACACTACCCCAATCCCACAAGTCACACTCCATTGTCCCTCACCTTTCCAAGTACAGCCTTCATCCCTCCATCCCTCCTCACATGCCCAGACGGACACTTCATCCCTCCCTCCTCCTCACCTGTGCGGTCGCAGTCCCATCCACATCCATTGCTGCTCCTCCCCCTCCCTCCTCCTTCCCCTCTCCTGCCTCCCCCGCTCCGCCCTTCGCCTCTGCTCCCTGTGCCGCCCCCCCTGTCTTCCCCTCCGCACTCCCACTCCCCTCCGCTGCCCCTCCCAGCCCCTTAGCCGCACTGCCCCCTTCCACCTCCATCTTCTCCCCCTCCTTCCCCCCCGCGTCCGCCTCCCACTCCTTGCCCTTCCCCTTGCCCTCAACCAATCCCGCCTTGATGTCATCCGCCAGGCGCAGGCGCTGGGGGGGGAGGGGGGACGGGGGGCGGGAGAGGGAGGAGGGTGTGGGGGAAAGGGAAGGAGGAGTGTGATTAGAACCGCCAAGCAGACGTCGCAAGCACCCCAGCATGGGGGAGCGGGGTATCACAACAAGCGCCTCCCCCTCCTTGCCCTTCCCCTTCCCCTCCACCAGCCCTGCCTTTATGTCATCCGCCAGGCGCAGGCGCTGGGGAGAGGGGAGAAGGGGGAAGAGTGCGGGGAGGGGGGAAGAGGGGGAAAAAGAGAGGGGGGAAGAGAGGGAAGGATGGGATGAGGGTGGCGGAGCGGAGGGGATTGAGTGGATGATGCAAGGAAGATACAACGTGTCCCTGGTAGGCGCTGAAATGGAGAGTGGATGGCCCGATTCAGGTTAAAATATCTTGTGGTGAGCTCTTTGGATAGAAAAAAACCCATGGGAAGAGAGACACCAGGCAGCTCGGAGCAAAGCTAGCCATGTGTAATTCAACAGCGAGACATGACCCTTTGTGCAAGAAACATGTTGTGTTGTTGCGCTGGAACAACACATCATCGGCAGCAACAAACAAAGGGACGCTTGTTGAGTCGATTCGAAGACCGCCTCAACAATGTGACATGCAGATTTCGTTCGAATTCTAGAAAGATATCGGCGCGGCTTGTAGCACTCACTTTCCTGGGCCCATCCAGCTTGGCTCTGAGCTCAGGCGTGCAGAAGTCATAGACGTCCAACACGAGGGGGTACGTCACCCTCTGTAACAACAGAGAGGAGGGGGGGGGGAAGAGGAAAAGGAAAGGAGGGGCAGAGAGGGCGGAAGAGGCAGGGAGGAGGAGCAGAGAGGGGGCCGCGTGCAGCTTGGCTCTGATCTCGGGTGTGCAGGATTCACAGACGTCTGGTTTTGAGGCTGGGCATGCAAGTCACACACGAACAACACATGGGGCAAGGCATACATGGGGGTTAAGGCACAGTAAGGTCTGGTATGGTGGGGCATGGTAAGGTACGGTAAGGTACGGTAAGGTACGGTAAGGAACGGTAAGGTACGGTAAGGAACGGTAAGGCATGGCAAGGTACTGACCCGGAGGATCTTGGCCTTCTGCTGCGACTCGCGCTTCCAGAAGAAACGCACAAACTGCACCGTGAGGTAGCTGGGGGGAGGGGCGGGAGGGGGGAGCAGTGGGAGAGGCCAAGAAAGGCTTGTTTGAATGCGTGGCATGCGCAGACACTCTCGCTTCCAGGAGAAACGCACGGACTGCACTGTGTGGTAACTGGTGGGGGCAGTGCCACGGTGAGGAAAGGGGGGATTAGGGAGCGAGGAATCACTCTTGAGAATTCCCAAAAAATAATTCCCGAAATTGATTTCAACTTTGAGAGGGGGGGAGGAGTGAGGGATGCGGGAGAGGGAAAGAAGAGAGTTAGGCAAACAGAGAGTTGGGCAAACAGAGAGGGCTGGGAAGGCAAAGCAGCATTGGCACGCCGTGGACGCACAAGACGACAGGCTTCAAGCACACACAGTACAGCGAGCACAGAATGACTGATGTTGGAAGAAGAGGCAGGTGAGGGTTTACAGCAGTTGGGGACGGGACGAAGACATGAGCATGGAATCCAAACACGCAGACAGACACCCACTGAGGGATGCGGGCACCAAGGGACTCTCCTTGAGACGCCTCAAAAATCACTAACTGCGGAAGACGGGCGATGAGAGACTCACTGGGGAAGACGGGCGATGAGAGACTCCTTTGCAAAGACAGCGGAGCGGCCGAGCGATGCCGATACCTTCTCGAGCTCCGTCCTTAGGCCCTGGCGGGAGGGGAGGGGTGGGGTGCGGAGTGCATGGAGGTGGGTGAACTGACATACACGCTTGACGCTGCTGCGTAATGTGGCACTTGGGCACAAACACCATCTCTTAAGCACAAACACCATCTCTTGGGCACAAACACCATCTCTTGGGCACAAACACCATCTCTTGGGCACAAACACCATCTCTTGGGCACAAACACCATCTCTTGGGCACAAACACCATCTCTTGGGCACAAACACCATCTCTTGGGCACAAACACCATCTCTTGGGCATAAACACCATCTCTTGGGCATTAACACCATCTCTTGGGCACAAACACCATCTCTTGGGCACAAACACCATCTCTTGGGCACAAACACCATCTCTTGGGCACAAACACCATCTCTTGGGCACAAACACCATCTCTTGGGCACAAACACCATCTCTTGGGCACAAACACCATCTCTTGGGCACAAACACCATCTCTTGGGCACAAACACCATCTCTTGGGCACAAACACCATCTCTTGGGCATAAACACCATCTCTTGGGCACAAACACCATCTCTTGGGCACAAACACCATCTCTTGGGCACAAACACCATCACTTGGGCACAAACACCATCTCTTGGGCACAAACACCATCTCTTGGGCACAAACACCATCTCTTGGGCACAAACACCATCTCTTGGGCATAAACACCATCTCTTGGGCACAAACACCATCTCTTGGGCATAAACACCATCTCTTGGGCACAAACACCATCTCTTGGGCACAAACACCATCTCTTGGGCACAAACACCATCTCTTGGGCACAAACACCATCTCTTGGGCACAAACACCATCTCTTGGGCACAAACACCATCTCTTGGGCACGAACACCATCTCTTGGGCACAAACACCATCTCTCCGCTCCTTGCTCTTTGTGAGAGAAAGGTGAAGTGAAGGGGAAAGGCACTCACACTCTTGATGCCTTCATTCATGCAGCAAGATGAGCGAAGAAGGAGGAATGCGAGGGTGACCCTCCCTCTTGATGCCTTGACTCCCGCTCTTGATGCCTTGACTCACGCTCTTTATGCCTTCATGCAACAAGCTGACGTCGCAGCTGATATGGTGCAGAGGAGGTGGGGTGAAGAGGGGGAGTGCGAGGGTAACTCACCCTCTTGATGCCTTCATGCAACAGGTTAACGTCGCTGCTGATGTGGCATTTCAGCATGAACGCCGTCTCCTTCTCCTCGCTCTCCTCCCCGTTGCCCTCCGCGCCCTCCCCTCCCTCCGCACACCGCACCCTGTGTGCCACACAGGAAGAGGCCGTGAGCAGGGGGAAGCATGGAGCAGAGGAAGTGGGGGTGAGCACGTGGCATGCCATGCAGGGAGTGGTGAAGACGTGGAGAGGGGGGGACATGGATGAGCACGTGAGAGCATGATGTGACCCTCACCAGCAGCACATGGAGGGGTGAGCACGAGGCAGCACAGGGAGGGGTGAGCACGAGGCAGCATCCACAGACAGAGACACAAGGACGGTTGCCACATGAGGAGCACGCATGCGTATGCAGTGATCCCTCAGCAACAGCCGAACAGCACTCACCACAGCTTTGGCAGGAGGTAAGGCATGGGATGATGCATGAGATGGAAGGCATGGGATGATGCATGAGATGGAAGGCATGGGATGATGCATGAGATGGAAGGCATGGGATGATGCATGAGATGGAAGGCATGGGATGATGCATGAGATGGAAGGCATGGGATGATGCATGAGATGGAAGGTATGGGATGATGCATGAGATGGAAGGAGGCACGTGAACTCACTTGCTGACTAGTTCAATCCCGAATATGTTGTCCACCTCAGCTTGCGAGCTGACGTGGCAGGGGGATGACAAGGCAGAGACAAAGCACAGTCAGGCAGGGTCAGTAACGAAAGGAAAAGGAAGGGATATGGCAGCGGGGGCAAGGAGGAAAGGGGTTTCTTCAGGAACAATAAGAATGATAAAATAACCGCAGGAGCAGCAAGCAAGCAAACTGCAGAAGAGGTCATCATGAAGAGCTGGGTGGAAAGGGGCAGAGAGCGGTGCAAGGGAGCAGAGGCCAGTGGAAGGGAGCAGAGTGCGGTCGAAGGGAGCAGAGATCGGTAGAAGGCAGCAGGGGGAGGGGAAGCAAGAAAAGGGAGGCGGAGGACAGAAGAGGGAGGCGGGAGGGAGGGGCAGCACGCACGGCTGCCTGACGCTGCGGAGGCGTTGGGCGAGCGAGAAGAGCAGCTGCGTCCAACACTCCTCTGCATCCTGTAGGTGATGAGGAAGGGAAGGGGAGTAACAGAGGAGGAAGGGAAGGGGAGTAACAGAGGAGAAAGGGATACGATTTCTGAGTCGGATCAGAAAGAGGCGCTGAGAGGAGGTGGGGTGACGCAGAAGAAAGGGTTTTAGGGAGTCACGGAGGCGAAAGGTGGCGCTTAAGTCGACTCAGAAGTCGTGGTGGTGGAAGAGCGAGCAATGCAGATGCCTCCTGCATGTGATGAGGAGCAGGAGGTAACGGGGAGTTACGGGGAGTTACGGGGAGTGATGTGTTGGTGACGCAGAGTTACGGGTGTGAGTGATGTGATGGTGATGGAGGACAAAGGAGATGAAGGTGAACAGCGCACGCATGAGTTGAGTTAAGGTCAAGCCACAAGGAGAAGAGGTGGAGCGGAAAAGGGCAGGAGGAATGGCATGTGCAATGAAAAGGTGAAGGAAGACGCTGAGGCTTTCAGCCACTGGTTGTGCATATCATGCCGGTACATGAATGTGCCATGCTCTCAAGTCACCTCATCTGATGCATGTACGCGCCATGCTCCCATGTGACCTCACCTGCTGCATGTATGCACCATGCTCTCCCTGCTGGGCGAACTGCGGGAATCTCTGCCTTAGCAGCTGCGTGCCACAGGGGGGGGGAGACAGGGTGAGGCGACAAAGGACGGGGATAGGGTGAGCAAAGAGATGGCTCTAGATTATGGGGAAGAAGGTGATATAATCATATAAGAAGAGGCGTCTTCTAAGGTAGGGGTGGCACGCGAAGGTTGTATCTACATCACGAACCTGAACATCTTCAAACGCGATTCAACTGGCACGCGATTCAACTGGCACGGCTGGCATGAGCAAGTGAGGCCGCGGCGGACGAGGGCACGTGAGGGGGAGGGTGAGGGATGAAAAGGAGGAGGGCGGAGAGTGGAAGGGAGGGAATGGGGTGATGGAAAGGGATGGGAAGGGGAAGGGAAGAGAAGCATTCACCATTAGGAAGCGCAGGGGAGTGACGGGGCGGCGGGACTTGTCGAGCTCCCCAAAGAGGTCCCTCGCTGCCAGCGCCAGGCGGTGCGAGCTGTCCGCCTCTATGCCACTCGATGGGGCGTACCTGCGGTGGAGTGCGGTGGGGTGGGATGGGATGGGATGGGATGGGATGGGATGGGATGGACGCACAGGCGGAATAAGGTGAAGGGCAATCAGTTCGGGGAGAAGCGAGGATGAGATGAGGGGCGGAGAGGGCAGGGGCACTTACTGGGAGAGGGCGGAGCGCAGGGGCGGCACAGAGTGGAGGCACTGCAGCGTGGCGTTCATGTAGCACGTGTTGCCCAGATTCTCCAACCCCGCTGACCACTCCTTCTGTTGCGGGAAGAAAGAGAGGGAGGGAGGGAGGGAGGGAGGGAGGGAGGGAGGGAGGGAGGGAGAGAGGGAGGGAGGGAGGGAGGGAGGGAGGGAGGGAGGGAGGGAGGGAGAGAGGGAGGGAGGGAGGGAGGGAGGGAGGGAGGGAGGGAGGGAGGGAGGGAGGGAGGGAGGGAGGGAGAGAGGGAGAGAGGGAGGGAGGGAGAGAGGGAGAGAGGGAGGGAGGGAGAGAGGGAGGGAGGGAGGGAGGGAGGGAGGGAGGGAGGGAGGGAGGGAGGGAGGGAGGGAGGGAGGGAGGGAGGGAGGGAGGGAGGGAGGGAAGGAGGGAGGGACGGAGGGAGGGAGGGAGGCGCACATGAGGCAGGCAGGGGAGCCGATCAAGCTCATAGCATCCAAGGGCTGCGATCACGTAAGAGGGGAACCCTCTAATCACACACGGCATTCAGAGCCGCTGCTATCTCGTAGCAATGCAACAAGGTGCGATGCCTCCCAAGCTCCGCTACTCTCACCAGCCCAGCAGCCTCCTGGTCCTCCTTTGTAGGTCCTCCTGGAACATCATCGCATGGGTGGGCGCTCCTCATCCCTTCTGCGGCCCCCACACCACACTACCTCCCACCTGCTTGGCATTCTTCCATGCTCACCTGAGCAGCGGCCTCCTGCTCCTCCTCGGGCAGGTCCTCCACGAACACCACCGCCTGGGCTGCACGTGTGCTCCTTCCGCCACTGCAAATCAACCAAGCCTTTGTGCGCAGCGCACAACTCCTCCTCCTACAAATCCCCTCTCTACTCTCACCTGTGCGGCGGCCTCCTGCTCCTCCTCGGGCAGGTCCTCCACGAACACGACTGCCTGGGCGGGCGCCACTGGAGCTGCGTCTGCCGTGCCCATCATCATCAGGCGCTGCCCCTGCATGGTGATACAGGGTGGGGCAGGGTATGCGGGGCGGGTGGTATGTGGGAACGGGTATGTGGGAAGGGGTATGTGGGTGTGAGGGACATATGGGGCGGGCGCCACTGGAGCTGCGTCCGCTGTGCCCATCATCATCAGCCGCTGGCCCTGACGGTGGCACGTGGGGTGTTATGAGTGGGGTAGGTGCGTGTGGGGTAGGTGTGGGGAATAGGTGACGTGCTGGGTGGGCGCCACTGGAGCTGCGCCTGCCGTGACTTTTGAGTCTACTCAAAAGTCACCTCGTTTTGAGTCGACTCAAAAGTCACCTCGTTTTGAGTCGACTCAAAAGTCACCTAGTTTTGAGTCGACTCAAAAGTCACCTCGTTTTGAGTCGACTCAAAAGTCACCTCGTTTTGAGTCGACTCAAAAGTCACCTCGTTTTGAGTTGACTCAAAAGTCACCTCGTTTTGAGTCGACTCAAAAGTCACCTCGTTTTGAGTCGACTCAAAAGTCACCTCGTTTTGAGTCGACTCAAAAGTCACCTCGTTTTGAGGCGACTCAAAAGTCACCTCGTTTTGAGTTGACTCAAAAGTCACCTCGTTTTGAGTCGACTCAAAAGTCACCTCGTTTTGAGTCAACTCAAAAGTCACCTCGTTTTGAGTCGACTCAAAAGTCACCTCGTTTTGAGGCGACTCAAAAGTCACCTCGTTTTGAGTTGACTCAAAAGTCACCTCGTTTTGAGTCGACTCAAAAGTCACCTCGTTTTGAGTCGACTCAAAAGTCACCTCGTTTTGAGTCGACTCAAAAGTCACCTCGTTTTGAGTCAACTCAAAAGTCACCTCGTTTTGAGGCGACTCAAAAGTCACCTCGTTTTGAGTCAACTCAAAAGTCACCTCGTTTTGAGTCGACTCAAAAGTCACCTCGTTTTGAGTCGACTCAAAAGTCACCTCGTTTTGAGTCGACTCAAAAGTCACCTCGTTTTGAGTCGACTCAAAAGTCACCTCGTTTTGAGTCGACTCAAAAGTCACCTCGTTTTGAGTCAACTCAAAAGTAGGTGTGGGGAATAGGTGACGTGCTGGGTGGGCGCCACTGGAGCTGCGCCTGCCGTGCCCATCATCATAATCATCAGACGCTGGCCCACCGCATCATTGCATGTGGGAGAGGAGTAGGTGACATGTGTGGGTGAACAATAAAAAACATGCGGGTGGAAACTGGGACGGACGGGTGACATAAGGATCAAACTGCAAACAGTGTGGCCAGCTGTGAATCCCAAACCTCCTGATCCACTCTCCCTGTCCACTTTTCCGATGGAATCACAAATTACACTCTCTCTCTCAAATCAGCAGGCTCATATCTTAAACCCTCCCTTTCGAGAAAATCACATCTCAGCTCTAGCAGTCCCAAGAGCATGACAGAGACACTCACCTCCTTGATGCCCAGCTTCGACCAATCAGCATCGTCCTGCAACGACACGCAGCAGCAGACGCAGAGCCAGCACAGTCCAGACAGCCAGCACAGTCCAGACAGCCAGCACAGTCCAGACAGCCAGCACAGTCCAGACAGCCAGCACAGTCCAGACAGCCAGCACAGTCCAGACAGCCAGCACAGTCCAGACAGCCAGCAGCACAGTCCAGACAGCCAACGCAGGGGGGGAAACACAACACAGGGTCAGTCACATTTGAGGATTCTCAAAGGTACCAAAGAATGAGAAGACGGTGCATCAGGTGAAGGGATTTTCCAGGTCTCAGATGCAAACACCCGCCCATCCGTAGAAAGCACCTACAGCCGCCCGTCTTTAACCACCAACTTGTGCTTGTCAGGAGGCACCCCTGAGAGCGCGTTCAGATGCCCCTTGAAGACCAGCATGAGTCGCCTTCACCAGATAACACCTGCACCAGATAGTACCTGCACCATATCGCACCTGCAGCAGGCCGCCCTTGACCATGATCTTCTGCCTGTCGGGCGGCACGCCAGTGAGCGCGTAGAGCTGCCCCTTGAACACTAGGGGCGGCTGCTGTGTGTCGATCTCCACCCCTGCAAACACCTCCTTCTGCCACTTCACGCTCACTGCTAGGGTTTGAGGAGGAGTTGAGAAATGAGGTTTTTGAGAGGTTCAAACGGGCGCCAGTCAGGACGGGCGGCTCCGGTGAGGGTCTGAGACGGGAAGGGAAGGGCTGACGGCTGAAAAGGCACGTGGGAGTCAAGAAGGGGAATAATGAACAAGGGGCACACAAGGTTGGGGAGGGGGAGGGAAAGGGGGGGCTGGGGGGGGCGAGGGACGACCAGAGGAGTCCACTGGCGTCAATCCTGAAAGGCGAAGCGCCCCTTGCGCTATCGCTGAGGGATGTCCGTGTGCGGTGGACGGGGAAGGAAGGGGATGAAGGGGGAGAGGGGGAGGTGGGGATGGGTGCGCCGGGGGGGGGAGGGAGGAAGGGGAGAGGGTATGGGGAGAGTTAGAAAGGATCGGGTATCGCGTTGTATCCTCGGCGAACTTTCACGAAGGCCACCCAGCGGCTCCGGTTACATCCGTTTCGCGCAGTGGTTCCAGTGTTTCGGGAGAGGATCCTTTTCGCGACGCGCGGACAAGGAGGTGGGGGGGGAAACGTGGGCGCCGAAAGCATCCTACTTCATTGATCTGCCTCGTTATGCCATTGGAGGGCGTGTACTTCGAGGAGAAGACGCGGAGAGTAAGCAGCGAGTGAGAAATCGTCTCTTCCGGGAAGAGGAAGGGTGTAGAAGAGGAAGGGTGTGGAAGAGGACAGGCTGACGAAAAGCGACGGATCTGCGACTTTGTGTGCCACGTGGCGGCCATCAGAGAGGCATCAAAGTTCCGCCTAACAGCTCTCCATGTGATTATAGCGAGTCATTCGCGGGTCTCGACCTGCTCGCAACAACGCGGGCTGAATGCGATTTTTTCGAATTCGAGCTAATCCAGAACCCGACGGGACTGGAAGCTTGACGATTCTAAATTATTTTGCAGTCTTTTGATGGTATCTTGCAAAGTCGCTGCAAATCCCATCCAGCGGATCTGATTTGAGCGCGACGGACAGAAGACTGTGGGTGCAAAGAAGACTTTGCCAGCACGGCTGATCGATGCGGCTCCACCCACCCTTGAGAGTCATGGCTGCTTCCTTCGAACGCCGCAGCGGCACGATGCAGAAATGAGTACTTTGCTCACGCGAGGCCCGATCTAGGCTGTCGCTTGCAAGATGCGATTGAAAAAGGAAGCGTGGCGCGAAGGGCGGCGGGCGACGCGACAGCGAACCGCCAACGAATTCGGTGGTTATGCGACGGGAAGCTGACGGGATCTGTAAGTATGGTGGGATTTGGAATTGCACGGCGATCTTGAGAACGCACAAAGTTTGCTCGTAAAGAGTGTCTCGCTTCTCGTGATGTAAAATGTTATGGGTTTTATCCATGAACTGTTGTATACAGCTTATTCATTTCACAAGAACACTCCCATTTTCGAAGATTGATCGTAGACACTAGAATGATTTGCCATAATGTATCCAAAACCAGAAACTGGTATTTTCTGAGGACTTTTAAAGAAAAAACTTCAGAGAAACATTATACGACACTCATTCATGGACCTTGTCACCTTGACTTACACCATCGACGGGCGGGCAACACTAAATGACAGGTACGGCAATACGGAACACTTACCCATCTTTTCTTTCTATAACCCAAACAGAACCCACACGCCAGAAAAAAAATTTAGCACTTCACCCATACAGTACAATAAGAAGGACCGCCTTGGAAGACAGAAGGTACCGCCCTGTTACCTGGTTCACTCCAGACTAAACCATAGTACAGCAGACAACAAAGACTATCCAGCCCTATTCTGCTGCTCTTCATGTGGTATGTATGCCTCCCAGCTTGCCAACAAATCGTTACTGCTGGCTGACCCGACCTTCTCTTTCTGCTTGCCGGCCTTCCCTATTCATCAAACCTCCGTGCTTACCTTACCTAAGGGTGCGTCAGATCCATTGGTCGGAAAAATCCGGCCGGCCGGATCTAGCGAAGGTTACACATTCACGACATTCGTAAGGTATATCGTTAATTTCGCACAATCCGGCCACTTGCTAAAATTTTGATGGCCGGTTTAGCATTCGACAACTTTCCGACGTGCAAACGAATCGAGAGTCGACCACTTTGTCAACTCGTCAGCACTACAATACCTATGCGACTTGGCCAATATACCCAAGCAACTCAACGTGTCACAAGGACGACTCGCACGGCAGCGCCGTTGAACATGACCAGTTTTCGGGGTCACACTTGTGTAGTGCGACACGAGGTGACCGAATACGTCACGATCAACTCGCAGTGTTTCGTATAGGTGGTCTGGGGACATGTGCAAGAAGCGGTCCATCCAACGCGCTCGTTTCATACTTCGGTCATTTCGCCAGAACACCTGGTAATCGCTCTCGTCAACAAAGTCAAGGAGCAAGGGCACCATGACACCGACTGCAGCGACCAAGGGGATGAGCACAACGTGCGTGAGTCCGATTGCTAAACGTCGTGCCCATCTGGGTGTGAAAGGATCCGCCATGTTGGATAATGGCTAGAGTGTAGGGACGTTCCGGTTTTTGTATGCTCTCGTCACACTCAGTTCGGGTAGACGACACGATCTCGCCGAGCCGGGTTGTAAATGGAGCCGCAGCTCACATCTTGACTCCCTGATCGTAGTGTGCACAATAGCGGTTGTGTCACTTCAGTAACAATACGTGCGACTCCGTCGCACAATCCGGCCAACTGTGCGACCTGCAAATCTGAAACTTTTGCAAACCGGCCTGTAAATCGGCCACCAAATCTGTCAGATTTCAACACCTTGTAAATGTGGCTGGATGGTGGTCGGTTTAGCATTCGACCATTCGGTCGACTTTGGCGAAAAAAGGAGTCGACCAAAAGGGCGACAAATTTACAGCCAAATCACATTGTAGCGGATCTGACGCACCCTAACCCCTCTCCTTGCCAAACCTCATTTCTTACCGAGCCTCACTTCTTGCCGAACCGCGTGAATTTACAATTGGGCGCCCCAATGTGGGTCGACTCATAATCCCCCACCTCCCCATCCAAAAACCCCTTCCCAGCCTCCTCATCAGTCATCACGGGAAGCCCCGTCTTCCTCGCTCTCTCCACCACCCCTGCCACCCGTGCCGCCCTCTCAGGTGCCTGCTGGTAGGTCTGCCCCAGCACCCCATGCATGCCTGGAGTGGAATCCACTAGAAGAAATTCCACACTGAAGTGCGCCTGTGAGTCTGTCGGGGTTTGCAGCATTGGATGCGCCACGCGTGCGCGTATGATCATCCGTGCCACGTCAGCAACCGCCAGCTCGTACCGCTCGACGGCAAACTGGCCGAATTTCTCCACCTCCTCCAACCGCAGAGTAAACCCACTGCACCCATCCCTCTCCCCACTGCCGCCGCAGCTGCCAATCCCTCTCCCATCCTCCACCCGACCCCCCACCTCAGCCATCCACCCACTGCTACTGCTCACCCCCGCACTATACCCACTCCCGTTTGTCGCCAGCACACTCCCTCCCCCGCCCTCCACCACCTCCCCCATCACAAACGGCACAGCCAGCTGCTTGTTGTTATACGCCACGCGCAGCAGAAACGGCTCAGCGGTGACGTTCACAGCGGCGTCGCTGCCCTTCTTGCCCTTGCTGGCAGCAGGCGGGGCGGACTGGCGGCGCTTGGGGTGCAGCTTGCCACTGCGCGCCACGAGGTGCAGGCGGTGCATGGTGGGGCGGCGGGGGTCCTTGGGATTGCGGACAGCCCACATTATGCCCAGCTCCCTGTGGGTGCACGTGCACACGGCAAAAGGAAAGGAAGGGGGGGAAGGGGGGGGGGGGGTGTTGTGGTGTGGATGGCGAAGAAAAGGGAAAAGGAAGTGGGGAGAGAAGGGAACTGATTATTTGTCTCTAGAAAGGGAGGGCGAGGGCGGGGCGGACTGCTGGCGCTTGGGGTGCAGCCCCCCCTGCGTGTCAGCAGGCGGTGCCGTGTGGGTGGGTGGGGCGACGGGGGTCCTTGCGGTTGGGCACGGCCCACAGCACGCCCAGCTCTCTGTGGGATAACTCAGGGACAGAGAGGGAACTGGGAAGGCGCATGGTGATTCACCTCGTCAGGTGCCCATCGAGGAGGCGTCATGTGGGGATACCTGGCAGGCAGGTCCTGGCGGGGCGGCGGATACCTCTGCGGTTTCATGCGGATTTCAGGATCCCACATTGCAGCTTGCACTGGTACCCACATTGCAGCTTGCACTGGTACCCACATTGCAGCTTGCACTGGTACCCAAATTGCAGCTTGCACTGGTACCCACGCCCGAATCAGCTGGCCCTTTCCATCCCTTCCTCATCCCGCATTCCCAAACCCATCTTCCCGCATCCCCAACCCCATCTTCCTGCACCAGCACTCACCTCATGCCTCCCTCCCAGCAACCCTCCAACCCTACATAACCACCTCTAACCCTTGCCCTCCATTGGCCCGCGTCCAGACCATCCCGTCTCCACCGCTATCCACCACTCTCCGCCACTCTCCAACCCCTCTCCACCTGATCCACGTTCTGCCCATGAGGTATGCCCATCCTCACAACCTCTCCAGCCCACGCCACCATCCTCCCCCAGCCCAGTTTGCGGTACCTAAACAGCAAACCCCTCTGCACTCCTCTCCACACTTCTCCACCCACGCCACCGCATCTCTCCCTCGCCCGATCCACGTTCTGCTCATGCCAATGCCACCATCCGCCACCAGCCCATTTTCAGACACCCTTCTCCAAACCTCTTCACTCCTCTCCATCGTTACTCTCACCTCCCTCACTTTATCCATGCTCTCTTCATGCCCTTGCAGCCAACGGGCAACAGCACATTTGAAGGGGCGTCAACAACATACTCCTCTCCACCACTATCCACCCCTCTCCACCACATTTTTCCCACTCACTTGATCCACGTTCTGCTCATGCCCATGCCGCCATCTGGCCCCAGACCAGCCAGAGGCGGCCGCATCGACTCGTATCCACGCAGCCGCGCGCTCACGTGCAGCCGTCCCAAGCACGTCTGAATGGGCCCTCAACAACACACCCCTTTCCACCTCTCTCCACCGCAACACACTTCCACCTCACCTGATCCACGTTCGGCTCATGCCCATGCCGTCATCCTACCTCCAGCACATTACACCCCTCTCCACCGCACCACACCTCTCCAGCTTACTTGATCCACGTTCGGCTCATGCCCATGCCACCATCCGGCCCCAAACCAGCCAGCGGCGGCCGCATCGCCTCGTACCCGCGCAGCCGCGCGTTCACGTGCAGGCGGGCGGCAGACAGCACGCAGAACGATTTGTCCCGCCACCCGGCGAAGGAGAAGCGCGTGCCGCACGCGCCGGTGAAGAGGTGGTTACCACCTGCGAGTGTTATGGGCTGGCGGGATAGGCTGGGATGACAGGGAGAAGGGGGGAAAGGGGTGAAGTAGAGGTGGTTACCACCCGCCAGTGTTATGGGCTGGCGGGATGAACTGGGATGACAGGGAGGAGGGGGGAAAGGGGTGAAGTAGAGGTGGTTACCACCCGCCAGTGTTATGGGCTGGCGGGATGAGAGGTGGTTACCACCCGCCAGTGTTATGGGCTGGCGGGATGAACTGGGATGACAGGGAGGAGGGGGGAAAGGGGTGAAGTAGAGGTGGTTACCACCCGCCAGTGTTATGGGCTGGCGGGGCGGGCTGGGGGAGGGGAGAGGTGAGAGTAGAGATGAAGGGGAAGGTGTGGGGAGACCTGGGGGAAAAGGTGGGGGGAAGGTGAGGAATGGGGTGAGAGATGCAAGGGATGTGGGATGAGATTCTTTCCCCCATCCCCGTCCTCCCTCTCGTCCCTCCTGCCCACCACGCCGTTCCCTCCAGCACCCCGCCGCTCCCTCCAGCACCCCGCCGCCCTCACCTGTCGCTCGTTGCGTCGGCGACGGCCCGCGCGAGCGACGTCGCAAGGAGCGCGACGGCGGCGACCAGGAGGAGCGGCGGCATCGGCGAGCGACATATTGCGACGGCTTTCATATTTTGATAAGGACAACGGCGACGAGTGAAATACGTCGCTGCAACAGACTTCGAGGAGAACGAGCCCGCCGCGCACGAGAATGGCCCGCCGCGCACGAGAATGGCGTGCGTCAGTTAGCGGGTGACATACGGCGGAATCTTAAAGCGTCGGCTCGGCTGCCTGTAATCAATGAGTTCAAACGTTTGTGCGGTGTAGGCGGGGAATAGCGCGTGTCACGCAAGCTGGATAACTGGAATTCGGCGAATGCAGCTAACTTGTGACGAATAATAATGTTTGGTAGCATGAAACGCGGTATTCTTCTCGTGTCACATCATTGTAAAGAACCAACTTCGAGGGCGCGCTTGTGGCAGGGCATCTCTCGTAATGCCTGTCACAAATAGTGAATCCACAGGAAACTGCGCAACCAGTTGCGGCGAAAGCTACCGTGCCAGGGCTAACGTGGTGAAGACAGTTTCCTGGGACAGCCGAATTGAGCGAAAACGTGAAGATTGTTCGTCAATGAGGGCCTAAGCACACACCACCTCGACAGTTCCTTGAATATTTACTGTACAATCTTCAGAGCTTAAACCTTTTGTCAGGAGCCATTCAAAGTACTGGTAAAACTGGAGCAAACCATGTTAACAAAAAAAAGGAAAACAATGGGTTTGAAATACGTATTTATGCATTTGATTGTGAGTCGACATTTCTCCCATCGAGAAGGAACCGCATGACAGCATCGTTGAAGGGCTTTGGTCGATGGATGTTGAGAGCATGTGATGCTCCCTCCAGCACCTCTAATGATGCGACGGGGCCAAAGTGACTGCCAAGGAACAGTTACGGCAGTCATGGGGGGACATGATGGGGGGAGTGGGGGGTGTGTGTGTAGGTAGTGCAAAAGCGGAAGCAGTTGGATGATTCTGAAAAGTGGCAGGGTGCTGCACTGGGGTGGCTGCACTGGGACAAAGAAATATTCATGGTTGAAAATATCTGCTGCTCAGATCAACAAAGCAACTCATGCGATCCTTAACACCGTTTCAAGACAGCTTCACCACGATCCCCCCTCCCATGGTCACCCCCACGACCTTCCAAGGCAACCGCCCATCCCATGACCAGCATTACTTGAGCATGGCATCACATTAGCATGGCATCACACTAGCATGGCATCACAAAAACATGGCATCACATGCGCATGGCATTACGTGTGCACGGCATTACATGTGCACAGCATTACAAGTGTAGGACATTATGTGTGCATGGCATTACATGTGCATGGCATTACATGTGCATGGCATTACATGTGCATGGCATTACATGAGCATGCCATTACATGAGCATGGCATCACATGCTCCAACCTGTGCATGCTTGCACCCCTCACTACCCCACCTGTGCATGCTTGCACCCCTCACTACCCCACCTGTGCATGCTCGCACCCCTCACGCCCTAACTCGAGCATTTACAGACACCCACTACCCCACCTGTGCATGCGGTGCGCCACGGAGAGAGGAAAGATGGAATCCCGGCTGCCCCACACCAGAAGAGTCTCCTGCAAGCCACAGAATGGCACGGTGTGGTGTGGTGTGGTGTGGTCGTGAGGCAAGGCATGGCGTGGTGTGGTGTGGGGTTGGGGTGGGGTGGGATGGGGAGAAAAAGAGAGGTGGGGAGTGGTACAAACAAAGCGAGACGTGTGGAATCTTATGCGAGGAGAACACATCAAACGCGAGGCAAGTCATTTTGGAAATTTCTCAAAATGTGGAAACCCATGCGGGAAACACATCAAAAGCGAGGCAAGTGCATGTGGGGCACAGCAGCTACCTGCCAGGTCATGTGTGTGTGTCATGCCCTTCCACGAACAAACATGTGGTGCACTCGCAATTCCGGGTACAACAACACAACACACCCACCACTGGAGGCACCGGGATGTCAAGCGCGTCGAGGCCTGGCAACGCACGTGCGCCACTCTCCCTCCTGCTCTCCCCTTCGCCCCTTCCCTCACGCCCATTCACACCCGTTTCACCCACGCCCTCATCCCTCATGGCCGTCCCACTATTAGTCGTCGTTCCATTCGGCCTCGCTTGATCAAGGCCCGATTCATCGAGGCCCGTTCCATCGAGGCCCGGTTGGGAGAGGTACATGAGCACTGCGTCCAGCATGGCGAGCTTCTCCTCTTTGTTGTCAAACAGGGCCTGCCATAACGAAAATGCACGCGCACATGGCGCATGGATAGGAGAGGAACCAACGAGGAGGGAGCGAGTGGGAAGGACAGAAGGAATGCTACGGGTGATGAGAACAAGGGAGATCGCCTACATGAGTAGAGCGCAACACCCAGGCAGGAAGAGCGGGTGCATCATGGGCATCGGCGAGGAGCATCATGGGCATAGGCGAGGTGCACCAACCGTTGAACGCCCTGGGGCTCATCGGGCAGCAGCAGCCCATCTGTCACTCGCCCACCCCCCCCCCCCCCCCTACTCTCTTCCCCAACACCACCCACCTCGTGAGTTGAGCGCAGCACCCAGGCAGGAAGAGCAGGCGCCTCGTGGGCATAGGCGAGGTGCATGAGGCGCTGCACGCCCTGGGGGTCATCGGGCAGCAGCAGCTCCGCTATGTGCGCCACCTGCCACTCGCCCAGCACCGCTGCGTGCTCCTCTGCTGACGTCATCAGCCCTGACCCCGCCAGCACCAGCCGCTGCACCCTGCCCGGCTCCAGGCAGGCCATTCTGAGAGAAAGAAAGAGAGGAAAACGCGGGGTGAAAGGGGGGAGAGGGGAGGGGGAACAACAGGAACAGGGGATTAGCCGATGAGTTTTTTTGTCCAGATGAGATTCCAACAGGCAGTCGCTGCACCCTGCCCGACTCCAGGCATGCCATTCTGGGAGGCGATGAAGGGGGCGGGGAGAGGAAGAGGGGGGGGGGGGGGGGGGAGTGGGGAGTAAGGAAAGAGAGGAGGATGGGTGGGGGGGTTCGAGGGGATGGTGCTCCCTCCACCCTGTGCGGCTCCAGGCACGCCAGTCTGAGAGGCGAGAACAGGGAGGAGGGGGGAAAAGAGGGGAATGATTGGGACAGGAGGGTTGGCGGGCAGGCTGTTTTTCTCGTGAGGAAAATCAGTAGGCAGGTGCTGCGCGGCAGCGTGCCCGGCTCCAGGCACGCCATCCTGGGGAGGGAGGGGAAAGGAAGGCGAGGCGGGTAAACAACAGGACCGGGGGTTAGACGGAAGGTTGTTCCTCCAGGTAGCCTCTGCAGCGATGAAGGGAGGGGAGAGATGAGGATGGGAGGGGGGATTGAAAGGAAAGGTGTTTTTTTTCTGACACCCTTTTCGGCTCCAGGCACGCAAATCTGGGAGGAGAAGAAGGGGGGGAAGGGGGAGGGGGAGGAAAGGGCTCGGAGAGAAGGGTGATTTAAGAAAGAAACGTTCTTGGAGGGGATTCAACAGGCAGCTGCTGCACTCTGCACTCTGTACGCTGCACTGCTCCAGAGAGGACATAGCGGAGAGAAGGCAAAGGGGGGTGGGCTGGGGAAAGAGGAAAGGGAAGACAGGAGGGGGAGATAAGAGGGGGAGAGGGGAGGGGAGGGGGGGCGCGGTGGGGAGGGAAGGGGACGCTTGTTGGTGGGAGAAGCGAAGAGGCTGCTAGTGTCATTCTGGGGAAGAGGAAGAGGGAGGCGTGTCGATGGGTTCGAGGTGGTAGGGGTGGGTGGGCTCCAGATTTCGGAGATAGTTATTTGGTTACGAGCGTTTCGACAGGACTGAAAATAGGCGTTTTGACTTGCCTTGCTTGTTCCAGGCGCGCAGTTTCAAGGAGCGGTGATGTTGTGGGGGGCGGGAGAGGGTGAGTGAGGGAAGTGGTCAAGGAGGGTGGGGGAATGCCTGCAGAAAGATGGGAGGAAAAGGGGAGTGAAAAAACGACTATTTGGCGACAACTCCCGGCGACGTCGCCCATCTTTATGCGATGAGGGCCACCTGCATGCGACGTCGCCCACCTGTATGCGACGAAGCCGCCGTAGCTGAGCCCGACGAGCGCGCACTCGGCAATCTCGAGGCGGTCTAGCAGGCGCAACATGACGCCAGCCTGAAACATTTCCGACCGTTGATCGCTGCGGCTGCGCGATCCGCCGAAGAAGACGAGATCTGGCAGAACCACGTCGAAGTCGCGCGAAAATGCCGCGACCTGATTGGTCCACTGCCAGATCGCCGACGCGCCGAAGCCGTGAAGCATTAGGAGAGGCGGCTTGCGACGGCTCCCTGTGGCATTGCGCTGCAGCGACTGCGACTGCGACAGCGATTGCGAAAGCGACTGCGATCGCGAAAGGGATTCGGCGTAGTGTCGCGGGGCCCAACATGCGACACTGGTTTCGTCGTCCACCTGCACGTCGAGCAGTCGCAGGCCGTGTCGCATGTACCACAGGCGAAGCAGTCGCTCCTGAATGTGCACGACGTTCGGCAGGCGAAGAAACGTCGCAGCCATCGCGAGCGACGGAAATTCAACCAGGAAGAAATCCAGGCAGAAGGATATTATGGCCCAAGGGAAGGGCGGCTTGGCAAGGCTTGGAAAAGGGGCGGTATCGCGACACCTAGTCGAACAGAAAACGGCTCGCTAGGACCGTCTATCAAACAACCTTTCAAGATGCCGGGTCCGAGCAGCAGCCATGGCTGCGAATTTGTTGCTCATATTTCGGGGCACCGCGTTGACTGATCATTGCCCGTCCACGCAACCTCCTGCTCCGTGGAGGCAAAATCGTCAGATTTTCCTCGTTACAGTTAGACTCACGTTAGGCAAACCAAAAAATACTCCGAGTTGCTTAGCTAATTCTCAGATAGTTTGACTTTGACGCTTGCCTTGTGCAAAAACATTACCAATTGATAAGCTCAAGGGCGTGTGCAATTGAAGCACAATAGTTTTGCCAGCCTAGCCCATAATAATAATAATAATAATAATGGACTCATATTTACCCTAGCAAATACTTATCGTACAAACAACCAATGTCATCCACTGCACTCCATCGGCGCCAACGGACGGGCTTGACACGAAGTTACCAATGACTTGCTGGACTCTCCAGGCGCTGAGCACGGAGCCAGGCCCCACTTGCATCCCAACACCGATTTGCTCATCAGCCCACCTTCTGAACACTGCTTCTCTTCATGCGATGCATCTGAGGCATCCACATGCATACCTGTACTGCAGAGATCGCCCTGCATTGCCGTCTTATCTTTTCCTCGCTTGTCTTCATGTGATGCGCATTGGGCGTCCACATGCATACCCGAACTGCACAAATCATCCTGTGCTTCCATCTTGCCTTCCCCTTGCTTCTCTCCATGGGACTGACATGCAGTGTCCGCATGCATGCCCCCCCCATTGCAACATCTGCCCTCCTCTCCCATCTCATCTTCGCCCTCCTCCATATCAGTACAGCCTGTGATGAATGCTGCTTCACGTGGTGCTTCCGGTGCGTCTGACAATGTGGCGGCTGTTTCAGGTGGTGTTGGCACTGCTATGAGTAGCGCCTGTGCTGCTTCAGGTTGTGATGCCTCGGGTTTCTCTGCTGCTGCTTCACGTGGTACCTCCTGTGCTTCTGACGTTGTGGCGGCTGTTTGGGGCAGTGTTGCTGTGGCTTGTGCTGCTTCGGGTGCCGCTGATACTTCTAGTTGCATCTCTCTGGTTTCAGGTAGTATAGTTGCGTCATCAGGCATCTCTGCTGCTTCAGGTAGTGCCTCTGCTGCTTCAGGTAGTGCCTCTGCTGCTTCAGGTAGTGCCTGTGCTGCTTCAGGTACCTCTGGTGCTTTAGGTACTTCTCTTCGTGGCACTGCACTGGTGGTTGAATCAACAACACATGCACTGCAGCCGGCAGCAGCAGTAGCTGCAGAATCAGTAGCTGCATCACATACAGACTCCTCTTCCCTGCGCCTCTTACGACACCCCTTAGCCATGGCTGCTGCTGCTGCTGCTACTGCTGCTGAGGTTGCTGCAGGGGTTGCTTGGAGCCGTACTGTTACTGTTGGTGATGCTGCTGTTGCCGCTGCCTCTGTTTCTCTCCTGTGATCGCCTGCAACCACAGAGGCCTGGGGATGCCACTCCCCACTCACTCTCCCGCGGAGGTGGTGGCGGGGGGGAGGAGAGGGGGGAGGCAGCGAATGGAGGGTGTGTAGGGCGATCTGTGGGGGGGACGGAGAGGAGGGGTGGCAAGGACAAGGTGAGGAGGGGCGGAAAGGCACGATGGGTTGTGAAGATGAGTGTGAATTGGTGGTGGGAGGAGGCTACATGGTGGAGACATGCCAATGTGAGCTGCATGAGAGAACGGCACGAATGCAAGCAGTGCATGGCTTACAGAGGAGTCATCAGCAGCGGAGAGCAGGGATGCTCCATCCACAGGTGACCTGGGTGGTGCGAGGATGGTGGGTTGAGAGGATGGGAAGATGGGAGTATTTAAGGATGTGGAGGGCAGGTAAGGTATGGGCACGGAGTGGTTGGATTGAAAAGGCAAACAACTGGCTTGTATTGACATGCATTGCAGCTCGTGCAAAAAAACCTGAGCCGCACACACCATGAAATGCACCACGTGCACCATGACATGCATCACGTGCACCATGACATGCATCACGTGCACCATGACATGCATGACATGCACCACATACACCATGCTCTATAACAATACATATCCATGTACCTCAGGCTCTGCATCATCCCCATCACCCCCATCACCCCCATCACCCCCATCACCCCATCACCCCCATCACCCCATCTCCTCATTCCTCCCCCATCATCCCCACCACCCATCGCCCCCATCACCCATCATCCCCATCACCCATCATCCTCATCACCCCATCACCCCCATCACCCCATCACCCCTCCATCAGGCACCCAGTGGCCACCCACCAGCGGAGGGCGGTGACCTCCCCCTGGTGCGCCTGAAAGGTGACAGATGGCATTGTGTCATTGGTCGACAGCTGGATGGTGAGGGGAGGGATGGTGGCATGCCAAGTATGAAGAGAGGGTGAGGGATAAGGGCGAGACAAAGGCAGAGGGAGGACAGAGGAAGCACAAGTGTTGTGAAAGAGGTGAAAAGGGCTGTCATGGTAAGGAAGCCCTGAGGAGTAGGAAAGCAGGGCTAAACAACAATAACAATGATAATAACAATAGCAATAACAATGAAAAGCTGACAGTGCGGAATATTTGAGACGTCCAAAGGTTCATAAGTAGCCTGGCATCACCTGCCACACATGCAGCACCTGCCACACATGCAGCACCTGCCACACATGCATAACCTGACACACATGCATCACCTGCCACACATGCATCACCTGCCACACATGCATCACCTGTCACACATGCATCACCTGCCACACATGCATCACCTGCCACACATGCATCACCTGCCACACATGCATAACCTGACACACATGCATCACCTGCCACACATGCATCACCTGCAACACATGCATCACCTGCCACACATGCATCACCTGCCACACATGCATCACCTGCCACACATGCATCACCTGCCACACATGCAGCACCTGCCACACATGCATCACCTGCCACACATGCATCACCTGCCACACATGCATCACCTGCCACACATGCATCACCTGCCACACATGCATAACCTGACACACATGCATCACCTGCCACACATGCATCACCTGCCACACATGCATCACCTGCCACACATGCATCACCTGCCACACATGCATCACCTGCCACACATGCATCACCTGCCACACATGCATCACCTGCCACACATGCATCACCTGCCACACATGCATCACCTGCCGCACATGCATCACCTGCCACACATGCATCACCTGCCACACGTTGACGCTGCCATCACTGCCACCGCATGCCACCCGGCTGCCGTCACTACTGATGCTCGCCTGGTGGGGCCAAGGGAGGAGAGCGGAACATGTGCATGCTGCTCGGCAAGCGTGCACAATATGTGTGCATTCATCACTTCGTGCTTGGTGTTCATGTGTGCGCATGTGAGATGTGTGCACTTGCATGTGTCTGTCAATCTGTTTATTGAATGCACAAGTACGAATGTGTATGCGTGTGTGCATGATTACCCTAGGTAAGCTTGGCTGCGATATGCATTTATGTGCATGCAAACATGTGCAGGTGTCATCAATCACACCTGCAGACAACCACACCTCCTTGCATGCACGCAATCAAGCCTTGACTGTGAGGTTGGTACTCGGCGGGGCGGGGTTCCCTCACCTCCACAAAGAATGAGTCGATCTGAGCGCCCTGCAGGGCGTGAGAGACACGTGGCAGCGGTGCAGTCATGTCCACCATATACACTCTGAGGGATGGGAAGGGGGGGAGGGGCGGTGGTGTAACATGGGAGAGATGGGAGGACTTAAGAGGTGCCTCAAAGGGCAGCGGTGCAGTCATGTCCACCACATACACTCTGAGGGATGGGCGGGATGGTGAAATGATTCTTGAGCGATGGGAGGGATGAGAGGACTTTCGTGGCGCCTTAAAGGGCAGCGCTGCTGTCATGTCCACCACGTACACTCTGACAGAGGGGAGCGATGGGGAGGATGATGAGAAATGATAGATAAGAGTCATGTCTGCAGAAAGCGGTGATGGGGGTTGTAGAAAGGGGTTGTGAGCGGTGGAAGGAGCTTGGCGCTAAGACGAGTGGTGGTGGGAGCAGGAGGGAGAGAGGCATGGGCTGACTGTATAGACACTCCCTCCACTGCAACCACCAACACCACCATAATCACCACCAACACCACCATCCGCACTTGCTGTTGGTGCAGCAGGCAGTGAGGCGCGAGCTGACTTTGCATACACTCCCTTAACTGGAAGGAACACCACAACCACCATAACCAGCAAGATGGCTGCCACAACGACCGGCACCAGTACCAGCATGCACACCTGGCGTTGGTGCACGAGGCAGTGAGGCGCGCGCCATAGGCGTCCTGAGAGAGGCTCGTGATGCCCCTCACCCGCCATGGGGTGCCCGTGTGTGGCGGCTGGAGGGGTGAGGAAGGGGTTGGGAGGGGTGGGATGGGGTGGAATGGGAGTGGGATGGGGGTGAAGCGAGGGGGACTAATGGGGAGGGGAATTAAAGCCATCTTGAGAGAGGCTGGTGATGCCTCGCACGCGCCATGGGTGCCTGTATGAGGGGGATGGAGGGATGGGGAGGGGCCGAGATGGGGGTGGGATGGGGGTGAAGAGAGAGGGAGTGATGGGGAGGGGATTAAAGGCATGTTGAGAGAGGCTGGTGATGCCTCGCATGCGCCATGGGGTGCCCGTGTGTGATGGTTGGAAGGGACGGGGAGGAGGCGAGATGGTGGGTTGGAAAGAGAGGGGACGATGGCATTGGGGGAGTGGAAGGGGGTGGGGGTTTGGAGGGGTGAAAGGAGGGGGAGGAGAGTGAGGGTGCGGGGTGGTGGGGGTTGGGGGGGTGCTGACTAGTACCGGATTCCCAACCCCCCCAGTAGCACGCGGTGCAGGTGGACAATCCAGTGACGAGGAAGTATCAGGGCTGTCAGTGGGGCACATGGGCTGTCAGTGGAGCACATGGGCTGTCAGTGGGGCACATGGGCGTGAGGAGGCGACTTCAAGGCAGGTAGAGCCAGTGGGCAAGGGACGAGGGACGAGGGACGAGGGAGGAGGGGCAACAAGCAACGGGCGAAACGGGCAACAGGCGAGTGATGAGGGTGCAATGATGAGGGAGTAGTGATGAGGGTGTAGTGACTCCACGGTGCAAGCGCGGCGTGGGCAATGAACACGAAGCTACGGGTCCGACTCCACTGTGTCACTCGCTTGTTGCTTACCTGGGCAGGGGCTGGCGTGGCTGTGGGCGAGTGAGGGGCGGTGCTGGGGCACAAGGTGGTGAGCGGCTCTTTCAAAGCCCGCGTGTCCCAAAACTTGACGGCTCTGCTCCCATGCACAGCACACACAGCACACATGGAGACAGCACACAGTGACAAGAGCTCATTTCTTTGTCGCCTCAAGAATATCCATGGCCCCACGAACAGCACAACACACACAGAGCGACAGCACGCAAGGACAAGGAAGGAAGCAGCACCGAGAAGCATGGATCCAATTTTTTACTCCCAGTAGACACCAACAATCTCGGGTGCATCCAACAGCTGCATGCTGAGCAACAGAGCTGCATGCTGAGCAACAGAGCTGCATGCTGAGCAACAGAGCTGCACCATAGCGCAAGTGACTTTGGATGGATTCTCTCATCCGTGGCTAGCTGCTCATATTGCGGCTCGTGCCCTCTTCTGCTCCTACCAATCCTTGCTGCCCTGCTCACTGACCATTGCAAACATTCCTCCTCTCTCTATCCTCCCTCCCTTGCTGCTCAAGACCTCAAGTCCTGCTCTTGTCATCATTCTCTCACCCAACCCATAAAACTCATCCATCCATCCCATTCCATCACATCCCACCCATCCATCCTATCCACCCATCAGAGATGCCAGTAGTGAAGAGCATGCGGGCGTCGTTGAGAGAGAAAAGCACATTCAGGCGGCACAAAGACACAGCCAGGCGGCACACTGGCACAGCACAGCTCGGCCAACCCATCTCGACCCACTCATCGGAGGTGCCAGTAGTGAAGAGCATGCGGGCGTCGAGGGAGAAGAGCACAGCGAGGCGGCAAAAAGACACAGCGAAGCACCACACAGCACCCCTACCCACCCATCCCATCCACCCACCCGTCAGAGGCGCCAGCAGTGAAGGGCATGCAGGCGTTGAGGGAGAAGAGCACAGCGAGGCAGCACACTGGCACAGCACCGCACCACACAGAGCACCACCCATCGAAACCATCCCACTCATCCCATCCCAACCAATGGCACCCACCCATCAGAGGCGCCAGCAGTGAAGAGCATGCGGGCATCAAGGGAGAAGAGCACAGCGGTGACGGAGCACCCCACCACGGGGCGGATTCGCACCCGCTGCTGCTGAGGCCTGCCCTTGCGCTGCTGCGGCTGAGCATGCAGGGAGAGGGTGGGCGGAGAGCAGGGAGGGAAGCAGGATGAAAGGACAAAAAGAGGGGAAAGGCAAACAGAACAGGGGAGGGGAAAATAGTGGGAGATAGAGGGAATTTGGTGGAGGGATAGGAGGGAACTTATGGGGATAGATTAAGGGAACGGGGGGAAGAGCGGAAGATGAGGAGGGCGGTGAGATAGGGGGAAAGAGTGAAGAGAGATGGGAGAAGGTAGGAGGAGGGGGATAGAAGAGGTGGAGGGGGCGGCGGGGAGAGTAGGGACGTACAGGGGGCAGCAGCAGCGGGTGGCGCCATGAGGGGCGGGTGGTTTCGGGGAGATGTGCCCGCGGTATGGCTCTGAGGGGTGGTAGGCGGGGCAGAGGGATGATGAGCGATAAGGGGGGGTTGACACGGAAAAGAAAACAAGAACAAAGCATGTGTCACGAGCTGCGATTCCTTTGCAAGGGCCACAGGGCACGTGGCACGAGGCTCGAGGCACAACGGAAGGCAGAATAGCAGTGTGTGAGTTAGCGAGGAGGCGAGGAGCGAGCAATCACCCGGTAGGCTGGGAGGAGGTGCGAAGGTCCCACAGTAGAACAGCACCGTCTCGTGCCGCTGTTGCCAGACAGTCTGGTGAGGGAAGCGAAGGGAAAGCGAGGTGGGGCGAGGGGAGGGGAAGTGGCGCATGGACTGGTAATGTGTTGCTTGCAAGATGCAATGCGGGGAGCTCAACGATGGTTGTACGATGGAAGGTGAAGTGGCCGACACTTGAAAGACCATGAGAAAATTCTCATGGTCAAAACTCGAATAACGTTTTGAGAAAGCGATCTGAATACAATGGAAATTCTAAGCATCTGTGCTTCTGGAGATTGTACGTATCAAAAATATATAAATGTATACATTTTTTTGCTTTGAGATTGCACTCCATCTAAACGTATCAACCCCGACTTTTTTAATCCATAACGGGTAACGGGCGTGTGCCCAAGTCTCGCGCAGTGGTGGAAAACTGGAAGAGATAAAACGGTTGGATTCGGTCGTTTTTGGGCGAGAGAAGTGTCCCCCACACGCCATTATCACACATACTTCCTAGAGGCCTATCCCAGATGACACATGCCTGGGTTGGCGGGATGCGCAGCAGCGCATTTGACGGTGGCGCCATGGCCTCGCAGCACGGCCAGTCGCGTCGAACCGCTCGGCGCCACCTGCCAGCACGACGCCGTGCGATCGCCGGAACACGCGACGAGGCGACGACCGTCCTGACGAAGGAAAATGGAGATGGGTTAAGACGCAAAAGGCGAATACGATGGGCAAAGGTGACGACAGGTTGGGCGCGAATTGCCGCAATAGCTCGGTGCCACCTGCGACGAGGACGCCGTGCGGTCGACGGCCATTTTGATGAAATAAACGAGGCAACGATGCGAGCGGAAACGGGTAACGATGCAACAGACAAAGAACAAAAGGAAAGGAAACGACGTGATTGCACGAGAGAAGCGCGATCCGCTCGGCGCCACCTGCCAGCGCGATCGCAGAAGTCGTGAGGAGGTGACGGCCGCCCTAGCGTGAAGGCCGGGAAACGAACAAGAAGACGACGCCGAGCGGAAGGCGCGACGAGGGACGAAGGTTCAGCAGCGACAGTCGGGAAGGAGAGGCGAGGTGGAGAGTGACAAGCGCGAGTGCGCGCGGCACGAGAGGGGTAAGGGCGACGACGGATGCGCGGCGCAGGAAGGCAGAGGCTATGCGGCGAAGGAAGACAGAGTTCTCATTTTCGGAACTCTTAACAGAGGCTGGGAGCGGAAGACAAAAGATTCTCGCCGAACGCTGACACAAAATACTCTTGAACCATCCACAACCTTCTGCTGATCCACGCTCTTTCCGGTGCCGTACCTTGAGCCAGCACACGTCGAACACGGAGTTGCTGTGTGCATGCCACGTGGTCGATGGTCGCGTCGTGTACGCGTTACAGTCGGACCCGCTATCAATTTGCGCGCACATGGAAAGCGACTGCAGCGTGTTGACGACATTCACGAAACCGAGCTCGTCGCCCACCGCCGCTAAATGAGCCTCGTCCGAGCGCTGTCGGTGGGGGGAGAAACGAAGTTAATACCGAAAAATGGACCGACTGTTACACGGTAACCAGTTCTCTCTGGGACCGACAAAGGCACGAGCTTCGAGTGCGTCATCGCATGGCCAGATGCGTCATCGCATGTGTGGGACCAATTGACGCCCGGAGTCAATCATTCATGGCTCACCATCGCAGAGTGTGAATCGTCGCATTCTCACCACTGACGACTGTCAGCATACCGGCTCACCTGACCGAAAGCCGCAAATTACGGGCTCACCTGGCCGAGAGCCGTCAATCACGGGCTCACCTGGCCGAAAGCCGTCAATCACGGGCTCACCTCGGAGAACGCTACCGCCAGCGGGATGGCCGCCGTGTGGCACTGCCACGCGCGCTGCGACGCGAGGGGCGCCACCAGCGCCCGGCGCGTGAGGTGCTGCTGTACTGCGCGGGCCGTGCCTGGGGTGGAGGCGGAGGGTGATGCGCACACACGCAAAGACGAAGATACCCGATTGGGGTGGGGCATGCGTACCGTCGCGAGCGGATAGAGTGATGAGCATGCAGAAAGAGGCTACGACGCAATGCCTGCTCGTAGAATTGTTCGCCGCAGCATGCCAGAAAGGTTCTCTTAGCTAGAATGGCTAAGTATCTCAGCAAAGTTAGCAGGCAGGCCGAGCTACGGTCTGTTTCCGTACCTCGTGACGTACCCAGTTCTCTCCGCCGAAGCAGATAGTGAACATCGGAAGCATTCATCGGCGCTGAGTCTGTTCGCGCACGCGGAAGAGCAGAAACAACTAGAATAGTACAGATAACTTTTGAAGTCGCAGCGGACTGGGCCAAAGTTTTGAGTGCAATGCGATAGGAAAAGGGAGATTGACGAGGCACCGACTATGGGGGAGGCAGTAACCAGGGAATATGAAAGCACAAGAAAATGAACTGCACTGCCAGAGAAGAAATGCAAAGGGGGGGGGGGGCCATCTGACCCTCCGAGCAGGTGTGGGTGGGAGAGCTCGCAAACAAGCGGGAGAGCGAGCAGTTGGTGTTCTCGAGGTTCGTGAGGGCGGGTCCTTATCGTTCGTTTGAATGAGGCTCAGTGAGATGTCTCGCGTTCTACAACAGTTAAACTAGTTACCAAATCGGTCGGGATGGGTATTGACCAGAAATGAAATGAAAATGACGCGCCCTGAGGAAGTCTTGAAATTTCGAATTCAAAATTTGCGGATCGCTGAAGCATTAGCGAGAGATTGCGGAGAGAATTATCCATCGTGTAACAAGTATTGATTGTGTACATCCATGTTATGAGTTGAAATTTTGTTGACCGAACATTCCTGGGTTGCAATGCAATCAAACCCGCAAGTCTGTTTGGTAAAAAGTTGCCTCTCTAGAGCCAAGATACAGGTGAGAGGGGAGCATTCGATTATACCGGGTGAGACTGATTGAAACCCGTTCAGCAATAGTGGTTGCCTCTCTGGTGCCAAGATACAGTTCTAGCGATTCAGCGTGGCTGGCAGACACAGCGCTAATCACCACTTATTGACCATCCTAATACAGAGTTCGCTCCCGGTCCAAAGCCCCAGTGCTATCGGGGCGTGGCGGCGGTGTCACTTCTCCCGCGTTGGGCCTTGTGCGACAAGCTCTTTGCAAATACCCGTTTCCTAAGATCCGGCGATCCATCTCTCACAAGCACTGTCCGCTGACCGGCTGGGTCCTCGTACGACACACTGCGGCCAATTCTGGAGGGGCTGGAAGAGTGGGAAGCATGGGAAGTGCATGGGTGCATGGCATGGTCATGCTGCTGCCCTGGCGGCTCACCCGCCACATGCTGCTGTGCGCCCAAGCCACCCCACCCATGTGCATGGTGAACGCTCTCACCATGCTTAGAGTGGCGGTTGCTGGCGTTACCGCGATGTGGCGAGGAGGAAAACACATCCCGGCCGCTGTGGCCCCAGAGGTGCTTGAAGGAGATGCGCGAGGCGATGCTCCATCGGCGAGTGAGCCCAGGCGCATGCTCGGAAGGAGAGTCTGGGCTGGCAGCACCATGAGCACCGCCACCCGGGGACACACCCCGTCGGTCAGGACCAAACCCCCGCCTGCTCGATTCTTGATGATGACCACTTCTGCTTAAGTCCAGGCCAAACCTTTCTTGCTCTGCTTCCAAGCTTCTAGGATCGGTCCTTGACCGAACCATAGGCAGTGTGAAGAGCAACCTGCTGCCATGCCCAGCCTCGGACCGTCTTTTCACATCCTCCTCCCATCCCTCCCCTTGCACTGCCAGCCTGTCTGATATATGGCCTCTCAGCCCACCATAGCACCTAACCGCACTGCCAGCAGCAGCAGCGCCCATGTCAAGAGAGGGAGGAGAACCCCTACACCCATGACTATCGCCTCCAGCAGCGCGGCCATGCGAGCCATGGGTGCGGGTTCTCATCATGTGGTGCTCGTCGTCTCCGTCCCGCACCGACCTGCTGCGCATGAAGGGCCCGCTGTGGAAGATGGCATCCAGGCCGGCCCAGGGGAGCTTCATGCCCTTGCTGGGGGTGGGAGTGGTGGAGGTGGATGCGGTGGAGGTGGGTGTGGCGGAAGTGGGCGTGGTGGAGGAGTTGCCTTTCCTGCTGAAGGACGAACTGAATTCGAACCAACCGTTGTTCCACATGTGATGGTGCTCTGAATTGCTCCTCACTACACCGCTCAAATCGTCGCAGTCACCCAATTCGCTGATTTCGCCAGTGTAACTTGATTTCGTGTCAGCCAGTTCGCCAGCCAGATTGCCTCTCCTGTTATAGCCTGCATCATTCGAAGCACCAAAACCGGACGCAACATTTCGCCTTGGACCGACGCTCTCAGTAACGCGGACGTCACTGCGTTCCATGGACCGCGAGCGTCGATCGCCAGTAGGCAGAGAGAGCGGGTTGCCAGCGGAATCAATTTCAGTTTGACCTAATCCGTTACTGTCCTTGACGCTGTTAGACTTCGCGAAGATTCGACTGCTTTCCACACCCGCCCAATAATTCCTCCCACCACTGCCAACGCCGCTAATGGAGTGGCTACCGTTGCTCCATGTGGCACCGCGCCCAATTATACGCGAAGTTCCGCCGGTTACCGGCAACGCTTTTGGCGGATTGTGCGACAGCACGGCCCTGTGCCTCCCCAGGCTGCCACTATCGCTGCTGCCGTCACTCCCTGCTCGCTCAAACTGCCTCGCCGTCTTGCACTCCCTTCCGTCCTCCTCGCCGTTTCCCATGAGCCTTTCTCGGACGCAATAGTCGTCCTTGGCTGCAGCGTCGCCTTCCGTAGAGTCGCCACCATCGTTTAGAATGTCCGCTGCAGCATCGCGTTGCTCTGCATCGTCTACTCCTCCGCGTGCCGCCTTTGCCTCCTTGCGTCGCGAGACCCCACGAGGCGCCACGACGGACGTTGTTGCCGCCTTGGCGGCGGCGGACATAGCGCCTCTCAGACTTGTCGCCTTCCCCCCCGACGACTGTTCGGTCCCGCAACACCCGCCGCCTCGCCAGCAGCTCTCGAAATTAGCGTCTCCGCCGAAACCCCTGCTGCTGGCGCCGGGTCGCGCGACGAGCTGAAGAAGGCTGCTGTCGCTCAGCCCGTGGCCTTCCTCCCATCCCTCCACGGCGTGCTCGCAGACGCGCTGCCGCCGCTGCAGCGAGGGGCGGCGCAGCGTCGCGACGAGCAACCGCCACGCGCTGTGCGCCTCGCGCACCACGTGCTCCGCCTTCTGAGCAGATTTTTCCCAGTTGTCCGCGACGTCGCGCTGCGGGGACTCGAGAATCCGCCATGGGTTCGGCCCGACTGTAGTGAACCCTCCCGCGTCGGCCCACGCCTTCACTTGCGGCAGCGCCGTCGCCGCGACGGCCGCCGTCTCCCCCGCCTCAACTAGCGGATCGTCCGCCGCCACCACGACCAGCTTCCATGAAACTTCCGACCCCAGGCCCGGGCGCAGGCGCACGGGCAGCGCGAGGAGCGGCAGCACGGGGAACACGTCGCCGGGGTCGCGCTCCCTCGCGCCCACCTCCACCGCCTCCAACGGCGCGTTGTCCAAAATTACGGGAAACGCGGCGCCGGGCTCGGCGAAGGGGTCGTCGGAGGTGTCGCTGAAGGTGTCGCCCAGAGGATCGTCGAAGGGGACTGAGGGCACGGAAAGCGAGCGGAAAAAATCGCGCCGAATTGTAGCAACGGGTTTGTTGGGAGAGAGTGCGGTTTGGGTCGGTTCGGAGGGAGCGGGCGCGAGGACGCAGGTCTGCGGAATTATACCGACGTTCCACGGGCGCTGCTCCGCGTCGTCGACGCGCACGCTGCCGTCGAGCGACAGGCGACGACGACGACCCGAGAGCGACGCGGCGAACGACGAGGACTTGCCGGACGTGCAGATGAAGTTGAGCGGCGCGGGAAGCTTGTCGCGGGACGAACGGGGACTAGCGGGAGTGGAAGTAGGGGAGAAGAGGATGACATCATGCCAGATGGAGACGACGTGGCCTGCTCCAATGAGAGCGAGAAGGTTACCTTGAGGCCGCTCTGACATAATTCGAGGCATAAGGGATATTAGTGGTGGGACAGAACCTGGCAGGTTGATGGTAGGGAGAAAATGGGTTAAATCTCTCATGTGTTCAGGCATGGAAAGCTGTAAGTAAAATTCCTTTTCCTTACTTCGCATCCCTGCTCAACGCGTACATCACTGTAGCACCACAGTCAGCACCGTTACCACTCGCATCTACAATCCGCCCGCCACCTTCGCACATCACACCCCGACCTCACGGCTCGGCGGGTAACCCGCGCTCCGGGCCTCCGCTTCGACACTTTTTCCCAACCTCAGTCCCAGGCCCATCGCGCGACAACTACAGTCCATTACCGTTACCACTGTAGTTTCGCTATATATTCTTCGCTCATGCCTTCGCTCATTGTACTCTTGCTTCGATAGTGCAATTCTCGTTCGTTCACTCAATTGCACTCGTAACAAAAGCGTATAAATGCTGAAGCTCTATGGTTCTTTGGAACATATTACATTTTCGCCAGTTTGCGAACTGTCCTGTGGCGAGTTCGCCTTTGCCTTGTTACACTGTCCTTACAAAGGTGGAAGGACAAGTGTGCATCAAACCAAACTTACGTGGGTTAGTTAGGGGACGTTCTTGGCTGGTGTGTGTACTGTCGAGATGTGCTGTCACGGATTTGCTTGGGTAATGAACATTTCGACAAAGGATGAGTGGAGTGTAGGGAGGCCTTCTGCACAGAGAAGTTGACACCTACACCCTCTTTCACGCTACACTGTCATCGGCTATATGGGCCCTGTGGCTCAACGCGCCAGAGGACGCATTATAGTGGACTTTTGCAACAGTACGGTATGACGTGGTTAGTTACTTTCGAAGACGGTCGTTTGAACGTTTGATATGGCTCGGTAGGGTACCCAGGCAGGGCTTTTTTTTGGATTTTCACCACTCGGATTTCCAGAGCTGTTTTCTAGAGAACTTTGAAATTCAAGGTTCATTACCGTGTCAGAGTATTATAGCTGATGCATGTTTGTAGGCCATAGTGGGGTAGCACATATGGGGTACAGCTTTCTAGGGTTGTATTTGTACCCAACTCTGACTTAGTCATTTCATTCCTGTTCACTTGTTTCACATGGTATAGAGCGGGTCCTTCCTTAGGACCGTTTTTTTTTAGGGCCCACCGAAGCGCGCCCCGAGGCACGCCCTTTTTTTTTAGCGACCCCTCGGGTCGCCATTTCCCTCGCGGCCCCGCTGTCCCTCAGACGCGGCCCCGCCACCCCTCCTGATCGCGGCCTTGCTGCCTGCTTGACGCGGCCCCGCCGCCTCCACTGACGCGGCCCCACCGCCGGCTCTGACGCGGCCCTGCCGCCCGCTTCGTCGCGGCCCCGCCGCCTGCTTGACGCGGCCCCGCCGCCTCCACTGACGCGGCCCCGCCGCCGGCTCTGACGCGGCCGTGCCGCCCGCTTCGTCGCGGCCCCGCCGCCTGCTTGACGCGGCCCCGCCGCCTCCACTGACGCGGCCCCGCCGCCGGCTCTGACGCGGCCCTGCCGGCCCGCCGCTGCACCCTACGGCCCGCCGCTGCACCCTACGGCCCGCCGCCTCACCTGACGGCCCCGCCGCTGCACCTGCCGGCCCGCCGCTGCACCTGCCGGCCCGCCGCTGCACCCAGCGGCCCGCCGCTTCACCTGACAGCCCCGCCGCTGCACCTGCCGGCCCGCCGCTGCACCCTACGGCCCGCCGCCTTACCTGGTCGGCCCGCCGCTGCACCCTACGGCCCCGCCGCTGCACCTGCCGGCCCGCCGCTGCACCGGTCGACCCGCCGCTGCACCTGACGGCCCCGCCCCTGCATCTCCCGGCCGAGCCGCCCCAGCAGCAGAGCCGCCCCAGCAGCCGGACCGCCCGGGAGCCGAGCCGCCCTGCCGCCGAGCCGCCCGGGAGCCGAGCCGCCCTGCACCCGAGCCGCCCTGCCGCCGAGCCGCCCGGGAGCCGAGCCGCCCTGCGCCCGAGCCGCCCAGCCGCCGAGCCGCCCGGGAGCCGAGCCGCTGTGCACCCGAGCCGCCCGGTCGCTGAGCCGCCTTTCTGCAGAGCTGCACGACCTACCCTGCCTGGTGAGCACAGTCCCACTGACACTGCGAGCTCTTTCCCTACTGCTTTCACTGCGTCGCTGTCGTCGCCATGGCTACCCCTAGTGTCCTAGCTTTTGACGCTGAGGGTCGCGCCATTGATTTTGAGGTCTGGTTAGACGACCCGCAGCTGTTCTTACAGTGCGACAGGGCTGACGACCTTTCTCTCTTTGACCTCACCTCTGGCGCCTCTCCTGCTCCTGCTGCTGATGCTGATCCCACTGTGCGCTCTCAGTGGGCCACCCGCGATGCTGCTGCACGTCTTGCTGTGCGTCGCCACCTCCCTACCTCCGAGCGTGCGCACTTTAGTCAGTACAAGAGTGCTCAGACCTTGTACGAGGCTGTAGTTGCGCGCTACTCCTCCCCTGCCACTGTTGCACTGAGCCGTCTCATGCTTCCCTACCTCTTTCCTGACCTCTCTGCCTTTCCCACTGTTGCTGACCTCATTACGCACCTCCGCACTAGTGACACTCGCTACCGCGCCGCCCTTCCTGCTGAGTTCTGCGCTAAGAACCCACCCCCCATGTACATCGCTCTCTACTACGTAGTCGCGCGCCTCCCTGACTCCCTTCGCGTCGTCAGGGACCACTTTCTCGCAGTCTGTCCCACCACCCTCACCGTCGACCTCCTCGAGAAGGCCCTCCTCGCAGCGGAGAAGAGCATAGTCGCTGTAGGAGCTTCTCGTGGTGACCCTCGCACCCCCATCTTTGAGGGGTGCTCTCCTTCCCCCTTGCTGCCCTCTATTGCCTCTGCTGCTGCTGCCGACCTGCTTGGTCTTGAGTCGGTCGGCGCGGCGTCTACCCCTAGTGGGAGACGTCGCTCCAGCAAGGGCAAGGGGGGCAAGGGCGCGGGTGGAGCTGGAGGGGGCGGTGGCGGTGGCGGCGGTGGCGGCGGAGGGAGTGGGGGTGGCGGCGGGACTAGTGGCGGGGGTGGTGGTGGTGGTGGCAGCAGCGGCGGAGACGGTGGTGGTGGTGCCAGCGGTGGTGGTGGAGGCAGCGGCGGAGGTGGAGGCGGCGGAGGTGGAGGCGGTGGAGGCGGCAGCGGAGGAGGCGGTGGTGGTGGAGGAGGTGGAGCTGGTCGGGGTGGTACCCAGCTGCGTAGAGGCGGTGGTGGTGGCCAGCGCTCGCAGCGGCAGCAGCAGCAGCGCTCGCGGGACATCCCTCCACCTCAGCAGCTTCGTGAGTGGTACGCTGGGCGTCAGAGGGGTGGGGGTACTGGTCCCTGCACCTACGTTCTTCGTTCCGGCGACCGCGCGGGTGAGCAGTGTCGGGGTGCCCACGCCACCCAGCGCTGCTTTGGCCGCCTGACGGACGCTTGGCGTCAGCAGTTCCCTGGGGCTAGTGAGATCCCTCGCTGGGATGAGCTTCTACGGGCTGGTGTAGCGATCTTTGATCTTGATTTTGATGCTATCCTTGCTGCTATGTATGCTGTGGATTATAGTGAGGAGAATGAGGGTTACCGGTGTTTCCAGCCCGACCCGGGCATTGGTACTGCTGCGCTAGGTGCTTGTGAGGCTGCTGCTCTAGGTGCCAGTGCGTCTGTGCTCTCAGGTACTGGTGAGACTGCGCTCTCAGGTACTGCGTCGTCCTCGTCCTCCCTCACTTTCACACTTGACTCCGGGGCTTCTCGCTCCTTCTTTCGAGACCGCACTACCCTTACGCCGCTCGGCCGGCCGGTTGCAGTCTCCCTTGCTGACCCCTCTGGGGGTCCTGTCCTGTCTCACTTCTCCACTGTCCTCCCGTGTCCGGCTGCCCCTTCGGGCACCCTGTCTGGTCTGTACCTTCCCTCGTTCTCTACGAACTTGGTGAGTGGAGCGGACCTGCAGGATGTGGGGGTTCACCAGTTCACTCCTGCGAGTCAGCGGGTGACCCACTGCACGGAGGCACGCACAGGCCGACACCTGGCCACGTTCTCGCGTCGGCCGGGGTCGAGTCTCTACACCCTGACCGTTGAGTCTCCTCCTGTCCCTCCGTCTGGTCAGGTGGCTGCGTCGGGTCAGGTGCTTGCTGCTGCGTCCCGGTCAGGTTCTGAGTCTGCCCCCTGTTCTTGTCGCCTCCTGTCTCACGAGACTCTCCTGTGGCACCACCGTCTTGGCCACCCCTCCTTGCCCCGTCTTCGGAGCATGGCTTCCCGTGTCCTTGTCTCTGGTCTTCCCCAGTCTCTCCCTCCTCTCCCCTCCGGGCCAGGACCTTCCTGTGTCCCCTGTGTCGAGGGTCGCCTCCGGGCTACTCCTCACTCCTCCCACTTCCCCCCGACAGAGGCTCCCCTGCAAACGCTTCACATGGATGTGTGGGGCCCAGCCCCCGTCCGTGGGCAGGGTCACGAGCGCTACTTCCTGTTGGTGGTTGACGACTACTCGCGTTACACCACAGTCCTCCCCTTGCGCAGCAAGGGTGCGGTCACTGAGGTGCTGATCGACTGGATCCGCGAGGCTCGTCTCCAGCTCAGGAAGAGCTTCGGCTCGGACTTTCCTGTTCTGCGTCTGCACTCGGACAGAGGCGGAGAGTTCTCTTCTCGCCTTCTGCGGGACTACTGTCGTGCACGGGGGATTCGCCAGACCTTCACGCTTCCGGACTCACCACAGCAAAATGGGATTGCTGAGCGCCGCATTGGCATGGTCATGGATGTCGCTCGTACGTCCATGATGCATGCGGCTGCCCCCCATTTTCTGTGGCCGTTTGCGGTGAGGTACGCGGCGCATCAGCTCAACCTTCACCCCCGGGTCTCTCGGCCTGCGATGTCCCCAGTCCTTGCTGTGGACGGGGAAGGTTGGCGATGCGTCTGTGTTCCGTGTCTGGGGATCTCGGGCGTTTGTCCGCGACTTGTCTGCGGACAAGCTGTCCCCTCGTGCTGCTCCCTGTGTCTTCCTTGGCTTCCCCACTGACGCCCCAGGGTGGCTGTTTTACCACCCCTCCTCTCGTCGTGTT